CCTGTGCAACTGCAAACGTTAGTTCCTCACAGCCATTCGCATAAGCGTCTGAAAGTGGCTGAGGCTCGGGCGTTGGAAGGTTGTCTCTACTCTCCTCCAGATGCCACCCGATGGGCGCGTGGACGGGGCGGACGAGAGGATACCTGGGGCCACGGTGCTCGGGCCCATCTCGCAGGGAGCTGCTAGGGCCGGGCCTAACCGTCAGCATCACGCCCCCCTGAGGCGAGTGAGGGAATGTTTGGAGGATCATTTCAATGGAAAGAGAGGTGACTACAGGGGACCAGTGATGAGGGCTGTTTGCCCTGAGCCTCGGGACAGGCACAGAACTGCGCGTGTCCCACACCAATCCTGACTTTATTTAAATTTTGGTATCTTGTCCATTGTTTTTGGCATTAATATTTATTTTAAGCAAATATTTCATTAAAATGTTGCTTATCTTGATTGCTGAGTTTTTTGTCCACCCAGTCTGTGCTCAAAGTGAGAACCTCACCAGCTTCCCTCAGTCCCAGGCCCGGCCAAGGTGCGCAAGATAGTGATGCCTGAGCCTGCACCGTGCCTGCTGAAGCGGCAGTGACGGCAGCAGAGGCGGGTGACCTGGAGGTACCCCCCCTCCTCCAACTGTGGGTCCAAGAACGGGAAGGCGATGGGCCAGATGGAGACTAGAGGCTGGAATACCAGCCTGGGGTCATTTAAACGCCATCCCATGTAGGAGGATGGTCTGAGAGTGTGGAGGGCTGCCTGGAGTAGGCGGCTCTGGGATGCGCTGCTGCGGACAGAGGCCAGGGGTGCTGGCAGTGACCAGGTGTGGAGGAGGCCCTGCTAGTATGGTGCAGGAGGTAAGGGTCAGAGCAATCAGAGGGTCACCTCTTGCTGGCCCCCCAACCCTCCAGGGGGTCAGCAGGAAAGTTCACAGGCCCTGGTCCCTGAAGACTCAGGGGAACCTGCAGACAGGCCCGTGGTGGAGGTGGGTGGGGATGAGACGTCTTAACTGAAAGAAGAGCAAAGTATTCTTTAATATAGTAGACAGATCACTTCTAACACCGAATCAAAACTATGACTTTGATATTAAAGATTAAAACTATGACCTTAGGACTCAAGGCTGTGCTGCAGAACTTTCCCATTACAACCTATTGGAGGGACCCTGGGAGGGTTACGGTGCAGATGTGTCCCCTGGAGCCGTGCCACCCAGAGGCCCTGAGGACATTTCATTATGTGTATGGTCAGAACACACATGGCACTGCCACGTTTCTATGCGGCCTCAGGACAAAACTGCCAGTGGAAGGCAGAGATGAACTTGCATTTTAGTTAAACCTTGCAACTGTGCTGTGCAGCTGACAGTGACGGGTCAGAGGGCGATGGAGCGGCAGGCAAGTAGACGAAGGCCAACAAGGGCATTAAAGAAAGGGATTCTACTTAAATCAACCCGTGTCCGTTCCAGGTCGGTGACCGGAGAAGCAAACTGCGGTGGGAAAGGTTGGCAGCGCTGCCTGGGGCAAACTTCAAGGTCTGCCTGGCGAAGGGCTTTAGGGACCTTATCTGTATCTCAAAGGTCCTTGTCCCAAGAGATGAGCTCCTGAGACGCGAGTAGGTGCCCCGATGTCGCTGCGAGATACCCCTGGCACCCGTTGTGCTTGCTAAGCACGTCTGCAGGCCGCCTGGGGCGTTGCTACATGCGCTGGGGCTGCTTCTCCTTTCTCCAAGTCTCCTCTCCCTGACCTGCTCTCACATCTTCATTTCTCAGCAAAAGGTAGCTTTCTCTTCCCCTTGGGACTCTCAAAACCTCCTATATTTGGTGCCAGATGAAGGCCCTGTGTGTGCGCACATACATGCACAGCTGTGCAGGCAGGAATACATGACTTACGCACCTGTTTGCATGTGTGTGTAAACAAGCACGCACACACCTCAGCCGAAGTTGGCGGGATTGGGAGTCCTTGACTGTCCTCTTTATGCCTCTCAATGTTTTCTAACTTACATACATTGACTGCTCATTAACCTATAATTTAAATTTTTTCTGAATGATGTAAAGGAATATTTAATGAAATGAAAAAATGTTAAGATGGTTGTTCATTTTTAAAGTGATTACAGAACAGCATGTGTGGTCTGAATCCGACTGGACAGCTTCGAGGACGTTTATCTGCAATGAGCCTTGTTTTGGAAAGCCTGTCTGGGGGGGCTCGATTCGGCTCCAAAGCCCATCGGGGGGCCTCAATTCAGCTGCAAAGTGGGCAGAGTGCCAGCGTTACACTGGGAGCCCCCAGACTCAGCCTACAAGCAGCAGGGCCTTGCTCGCTGGCACACAGCCTGTTAGGAGCTCACGTGCTGCACCCAGGGCGGGAGATGAAGGCTTTAGTCAGGGAACATGAACTTACTCTGTACAGAATTTGTACATGTTTGTGTCATCTCCGCCCTCAAACTTGAAGGCATCCTGGAGAAACAGGCAGGCTGACCCGCCACTGCAGCCACCAGGGTGGGTGTACTGGGCGGGTCCCTGCTGATGCTGCAGCTCGGGTTCGAGCAAGTCAGCCGGCCAGGAGCAAGGGCACAGGGCGCTTATGGGAGAAGTGACATCAAGCGGCTTCTTAAAGGCTGAGTGTTAGGAGGAAAGCATGGGGTGGGGGGTTTCCAGGTGGAGGAAAGAGGGGTGCAGAGGGAGACGTGCTGGGGACAGGGACAGGGAAGCACCTGCTCAATACGGCAAAAGGTGTGAGGGAGTTTTCTTATTGGCAACAACATATAAGAGCCCCAGGAGCTGATGCTGGGGAGAAAGTGCAGGAGCTGGGCGGGGGCAGGGGGTGGGGAGTTGTGGCCCAGGGTGGCCTGTGACCTGCCACGAGGAAGGGCTATAGCCACGACTGATGCAGACTGAAGCCCTGGGTGTAAGTAGACAAGGCCTGGAGGTGATCAGGGTCTGGAACTGTGAGGCCAGAGTGACAAGTGGCTTCTCCACGTGGACTTCGAGATCATGGTGATGGTGGCAGGACCCAGGATGGCTGTGAGCCAGGCTGTCAGTGTAGATGGCAGATAAAGCTGGATAGGGGCAAATGACAGATAATGACAGGCCAGGAGGGGGTAGATAACGTGAGGGTGTAGGCTGGAAGGTCACAGCCAGATGGAAATGGGCTCAAAAGAAAAGCTTTCCCTAAAATAAATAACAACAGCAATAATAATAATAATAATAATAATAATAGGACAGAAGCACAAGGTTGGAATGTGGGATGTGGCGGGGGTGGGGGGACAGAGACTATGCAGACCCGCCTCCCTCAGTGTGCAAGGGACAGGAGAGGAGCTGCCTCCACCCCCCCGGGAGGGGCCTTGTCATTTGGGGGCAGACCTCGATTGCAGTCTCGGAGAAGGTGGAAGGGTGGTCAACCCTTCGTGCAGGTCATTCAGCTGACACACAGAGGTCATGAGGAGGCTGCCCGTGGTCAATTAATGAGGATCGCAGGCCACTCCCACCACACGGCAGATCCCCCCGAGCTGCTGCAACTCTGGGGTCTTTTGGGAGGAAAACCAACCAGCCTCCCCAGGTACAAAATCTAAGATGTCATCTAACAGGTCTTACATTAGAAGTTTGTGACTTCGAGTTAAACCAGAGGGACGTCACTGTGCAGGCTGGCGGGAGTCTCCGGACTTCCCAACGACCCCTTCCCCTGGCCCCATTCCCTTCTCCATTGGGCCCCGACACAGACCACGCTGTTTCCCTCCAGCATGAAATGTTACCCAACGTGGGACCAAAAAGCAAGGTTCAGAAATTCTGAGGTGATTAGAAAAGGCCTGGAAATGCTGTTTTCCAGAAATGATTTTTAAAAAAGACTCCATAAGCTCTTTCTTCCTCTGTACAAGGGGTGAAAGGTGCCTGTGACCTCTGGGACCTGTTTCTTGTGTTCAAATGCATGAGATGCATCCCTCCCCTGGCTGGTAGCTTCTCTACTGACCAATAATAATAATAATTAATAATAATAATAATAATAATAGGCTCTCCAGTCATGTTCACTCGCAATAACCATCTCTTAGTTATTAACAGGTTCGGGCTGGTTAATAACCAACACTCCGCTCTGCAGACTAAGTTAACGTGTTTTGTCGAACAGCGTAGGCCTGCCCTGGGGGACAGAGGCTGGGCTCCCCCTTTGCCTGTCCTGGGACCCTCTGCTCCTCGCCCCCATACTCACAGAGTCTTGGTGTCCCACTGAGCCAGGTTTGCGGAGGGCAGGGCAGTGAGAGCAGAAAAAAGGGACAGTTTTAGTTAACGCCGTAACTGCCATCCAGCTTTTGTTTTCTTTGCACGTTTTAGAGACATCTAAAGCTGACTCTTGCTCTGGGAGTTTCCATGGTATGTGGCCTCATTTCTACCTCTCGACATTTTTCTGAGCGGCCCATCACCATGTAAGAGCAAAACACAACCAGAATGGGTCTGTGCAGTGCCATGCCCCGCACCAGGTGCCAGGAGAGTTACCCACGCTCCTAGCAATCCCAGAACACAAGGCAAAGGGACACAGTAGAAAAGCCAATAAATTTTCAGTTTTGATATCATATTAACCTTAATCTCACAGCTGTATTTGGCCAGAAAGTCTTATTTACAAGGAAATTGCTGCTGTAAAAATGGAACGGTCATTAACAGTCTCACTTTCCAGATGTTATTTGATACATGCCCCAAATTACATTATTTCCAACACAGGGCGCACTTTGAACTTGTTAGAAAAACCTATCTTCAGATAGTGTTAGCGTGCGTTCTAATTCTTGAAATAAATGTGCCCACAAATTGTAGTTTAGGGAAGACTAGGTGTGCTTAGCAAGTTTTAAACCAGCCAAGTTTCAGGAGAGGAATGAAGGTGTCTATAGGAAGAAGACAGCTCAGCATTCAGCGCACTGGGTGACCTCTTGAACTTTAAGCTTCCACATCACAGCACGAAGCTGGTTCTGAGATAAGAAACAGGATAAATTCTCTCCCGAGCACAGACCTGAGTCTTGGACGGCTGGCAGCTGGGACTCAGCGGGACATCATGGCCTTCGACGGGACCTGGAAGATAGACCGGAATGAGAACTACGACAAGTTCATGGAGAAGATGGGTAAGGGCTCATGCTTCTGCCGTCCGTCTGTCCGTCCTCTTGCTTCCCGCAGACGGCTCCCCAACTCCCTCTACCCCCTGGGCTTAGGGAGCGCGAGGCGCCCGAGCGTGTGCAGGCGCAGAGCAGGGAAAGCCCGTGTCCCCAGCGGGAGGAGAGATCCTTGGGTGCTGTCCCCTGAAACGCAGGCGGATCCAGTGTTTCATTCGCGTTAACGGGACGGAGCCCGTTCCGGGGGAAACTGACAGCTTTCCGTTTGGAAAGTGCCAACGGCGTGTGAACTGACTACAATATGTAGTTTCTAAGGGAGATTTTAATCCAACTGATTTTAATATCTGTACCATACTCTGGCAGCCCATACGCCGCACGAGACGGGCAAACAAATTTACGTTATTACTTAAAAATAAAATTCTGCATCCATTATAACCTGCAGTTCAGGGATTCTAAGTTCAAATTTATGGAATCTGTACATTTTACAATAATGAACTTGACTGTAATAACTGCTAACTTTCTCATTTTTGTGACAGTCAGAAATGCCACAAAAAGCAAAGAGAATATGAAGTTAAAGATGTAAAGCCACATGAAAGGCAGAGGTGCAGTGAAAGACTACTGTACATGCAGAATTCAAGTTGTATGTCCTTATAAATATATGAATATAGCTTTTAATCCTTCATTTGCCATATCTGGAATTTGGTTTACTTAGCACTGAGACAAAAAGGTTGATAACTGTATTTAAATTAGTTAGTTCTAAGATTCTACAATTCCATGCATTTACTTTTTCTTAAATTTTGGGAAAACGGCTTGTCAGTGCGCTCTCTCTGTTCCAGCTCGAACTTTTTCTGCAAAAGCAACCTGAATGTCCCGTGCAAAGGCAAGGCGCTCAGGCTTTCCAGCCCCTCCAAACAGTAGCAAAAATTAAACCAGGCGCTGACTTCATTGTACCCAACCTCTCTCTGCCTGCAGGCATCAATATGGTGAAAAGGAAGCTGGCGGCCCATGACAACTTGAAACTGATAATCACGCAGGAAGGAAACAAATTCACCGTCAAAGAATCGAGCACTTTTCGGACCGCCGAGATTGTTTTTGATCTTGGTGTTACTTTTGATTACAGCCTAGCGGATGGAACTGAACTCCGTGTAAGCAGTTTTATAAGCAATGCTGTCCTGATTTTCTACACAGCACTAAGATAACCTCTGCTTCTTGCCGTTGGATGGTTTAGTTAACTCCATTCATGAGTTTATCCACGGTGTAAGCACACAAGCTGACAGAGTACTTAAATATGTTCTTATTTCCATACATATCTATAAGGAAGCTGAGTTGAACAATAAGAATTAGAAAAAACTCCTCTGAATGACTGAGTATAGACCTAGCCATAGATTGACTTTACATATCTGACGGCAACAAAAACTTTTAGTTCTCTAACTGAAACATAACAAAATGTAACAGAAATAATAAAATAAATGAAATTAGTGAATGAGTGAGTGACCAAATGGAAAGTTTAGGAAGTCATATGTTTTCAACTGATTTTTTAAAAACTTTTTTGTCCTCAGAATTTTTCTAGTTAAATTATATATTTGCAATGACAATTAAATTGTTAAATATTTGTTCAGTTATGTTCTTTTTAAAACTATTATAATAATTCTACAAATTAAAGCAAGCACAGGTGTCAGCCGGGCCCTGAGACTAATCTGAACCACGATGAGATTCAGGGCGTGCTGGTCCCTAGGAAGCGCTGATCCCTAGGAATCCGCACGCAGGGGCCACTGAGAGAGGGGCTCAGGGGCAGAGCCTGGGCTGGGGTCGGTCCCACTCCGGGGCTGTGGGTGGTCACCGTCTGGTTTCTCACCTGTGCAACAGAGAGTGACACCACCTCACAGGGTCGTTGTGGAGACGTCCACCCACAGAACTCAGAACAGCACCGACACATGCAAGACTCTAAAGGGGCTATTTCACTCCTGTTACTGTTACTTTTATACAGGGGACCTGGGACCTGCAGGGGAATAAACTTGTCGGAAAATTCAAACGGGTAGACAATGGAAATGAACTGAATGCTGTCCGAGAAATCATAGGCGGTGAGCTGGTCCAGGTGAGCTGTGAAACCATTATCACTATTTCCCAAAGCCAAGATAATTGCACAACAATAATTTCATTTTTGTTGTTGCTAAGTTGTATCTTCAGTAAACAGACTCTCACTTTTCTCATAAACCTTCTGATTTTAACCATATACATCTTTTCTGATCCCTACTGAAAAGAACTTGCGTATATGTTAAATACATTAATGCCCATTTTAACTGAAAATGCAACTACAAACCACATGTATTTCTAATGGGTGTGTTCTGTATCTGTACATGTTGCTATCAAGACAAGCAAATTCATTTCACTATAAATAATTCATTTCAAAGTGATAATGATATCATATGAATCTAATCTTTTTCTTAATTTAGCCTTAAAATTAATGGCAAATTCTCCTGTCTGTTAACACCTTTCAGACTTATGTGTACGAAGGAGTCGAAGCCAAGCGGATCTTCAAAAAGGAGTGAGCGCTGTTCCTGCAGCTCGGCCCAGACACAAGCAGACACAAAACCCTCGGCAGCAGAAAGACTTCTGTCTCCTCAAGTCCAAAGTTCCTGGCTGATTAGTCCTGTCATAAACAAGGGCCACGGGCTCCGTTTCCAGTCTCGCCCAAGCAAAAGAATTACAAGCTAATTAGGATGCCACTGGGCTTACAGTTCTCTGAGATGTACATTTATTGCTGTTCTAAAAGAATTTGTGATATTTTTTAAAACAGATGAATAAATATTGTTCCTATATTGCTTTATGAGTAGCCTCTCCTTAAAAAAAAAACACAAAAAAACCCCACAAAAACCTGTGTGGCATGAACATGTGTATTGATAGACTGTTTGGGGTTTGTTTATTTGCTCCACATTTGGTAAACTGAAAACACAGACTGTATGGGGGGGGGGTCTTCAAAATCCTGCACTGGTTTTAAATATTTTCCTTAGTAAAATATATTATCATACAAACAATATATATTCAACCAGAAAACTTAGAAATAAGAAAAGCAAATGGAAACTGAATATTTGTAGTGGCCAGGATCCAGGGCTAGTCAGCATCCTGATCTTAGCAGACACCCTCCCAGGCCCCGCGTCCGGGGCGGAGGCACGTATCTCCCCACAGGCGTCGCTTCGGGCAGCACGACAGGAAACACACAGTGTGCGAGTTAAAGGCCTGGCTGAGGCACTTTAATGAGTTTCCACTCCTCCTGTCCACCCTCCAGACCAGCACCTCTGAGTAGAGACCCACCAGGGGTCTGAGAACAGCGGGGCCCTCAGATGCCAGAGGGGTCACGTTCCACTGCTACCCCCCATCATCAGCACGTGCACAGCCAGTGGGCCAGGGCCCAGAGCCTTTTCCTTTGCACGTATTCTCACATGAGGTACTATTTTATATACTTCAAGCAACTGCATTACAGGCGGGTGTGTATTAGAGGGCAGAGCGCGAGGTCAATTTTTTAAGACCATCTCTGTGAACTTGTTTTGACTGCCCCTTTCTCATGCTGATGGAGGTGACCACCAACCTTGACCTAGTTCTGGTCATGACCTACACGCTGCTCAGAGTGCTATATGAATATGGAAGATACATGGGGGTGGGGAAGACGGGAGCACATGATGCAAGTGAGCAGAGGAGAGAACACCTAATCTTTTGCACAGCAAGGACTCAAATCCATGTCCCTGAAACTTCACAAAGGAAATAGTAATCATTAAGATTTTTTCACTTGTTTTTTAAAAAATAAAGGTTCAAAATACCTTTACCTCTCTAATTTCACCTTTCTACATATTTGAAATAGGAGAAGGCAGGTGCTGATCGCATTTGAAAGTGGAGAAACTACCACACGTTAGTTTGCTAGCTTGTCTCATGCTGTGGAGGCCACAATGAGCACAGGAACTGAATGGAGGCCTTGACTGTCAGTCTAGGAATTACGACCTATGCTATTACCCAGCCCGGTATAAACACCAAATCTTAAGAAAAAATGTCCCCTAATTCCTTAGTGGAGCCCAGAATAACGCTCAGAATGACCCAGGTCAGCGTGCCAAGCGGTGGCAATCAGCAGGCACTCAGCCACCTCTGGCCTCCTGTACTGGATTTCCACTGTTTGTTAGTGTCCCAGTGACCGCCACTGTGGTCACCCCTCTTTGGGAAACTGACCTTGACATCACGCCAACTTGATGGGCCAGCAGAGGGCGCCGGCGCCGGAGCGGCCAATCTCGCACCATCTGGCCAGTTTATGGTCGGTGCAGAAGGACCACCACCAACGCAGCCCAGAGGAGCTCTCCCTAGAGTCCAGTTTGAAGCAACGCACGGGGCCGGTGGGAAGGGAAGCGGCGTGGAGGGCGCCGAGGGGGCGGCTGTGAGGAAGGTCAGCGGCCTGTGCGCCTGCGAGCAGGCAGAGCGGGCGGATGCAGGGCAGGGCCGCTGGGGGCAGTGGAGGCGTCAACGCTGAGGGACTTATGTGGGGACAGTGGCACCTGCGACTTGCTTCAAATCACTTCCCCCCGGTCCAGGGCTGGGGAAGCACTGGGAGGCCCAGATGAAGCGGGACTGGTCACAAGTGGACAACTGTCACAGCTCCTGGAAAGTGCCTGACATGTGACAAGTTCACTGGTCCCAAGTAGGAAGAGGAGGATTCATTGGACGTTTCTCCCTACTTTTGCATATATTTTAAATTTTCCATAAGAAAAACTTAAACATGTAATATGTACATATGTAACTCCAGAAGTCAAGTATTCCCCATCCCTGCCTTGGTCTGAGTCACCATCTCTCCCCTAGGTTACTGTAATAACCCTACAAAGCCTCCCACCCTACCCCACCCTTAGACTGTTTTTCAACACAGACACCTGAGATCACGTCACTCCTCTGCACAAAACACCACATCCCCCAGTTCATTCAGAGAAAAGCCAGTGTTCTCGCGATGGCCTACAAGACCCTGTGTGGTCAGATCTCCCAGTTCCTACCGGGCATTCCTGTTGTCGGGGACTGTCTGGAAGAAGAACATTCTGGGAGGCAACAGCCTGGAGCCAAGAACCCACGGCAGGAGCAAGCCTGGTCAGAGTCCCCAAGACCTCCCAGAACTGACCACGACGAGAGCAGAGCCCAGGCAATGCAGGCTGGCTCCTTCCTGGCTCTCGGCGGGTTGGGGGGCATGTGAGAGTCAGACTTCTTGCACCCTGGCTTTCCATCTCTAACTCAAGTTCAAGTGCCTCAAGTGCCAAGCCTCGATTTTCCTCCTGGGGAAAATACTAATGGTCTTCTGAGACTGTTGTTAATCGAGGTATTATACGTAATCATCCAGCATGATGCCCAGCATATAGTTCATACTCAATAAACGTACATAAGTCAAACCTGCGCCCTTCTCTTGTAGAGAGAACAGAGCAAAGTATGTCTGAGTGATGGGAAAAGTCTGTGTGGCAGAGGGAGGCTTGGCCTGGTCATGAGAGCCCTCAGTCTGGGGCATCACCCGCTGGGGACTTCGGGCGAATGGCTCCGTCTCGTGGAATTTAGTTCAGTCCTCTTTACATGAGGCAGCTGGACTAGACGGCCTCTCAATTCCCTTCCAGTGCCAGAGTCTGTGATCTCTGAACAGCATTCGATGACTCTCCCTTTAAGCAGCCCTGTGCTGTGTGTCACAGAGGGGCTGCAGTGACAGGCTGGGGACAGGGAGCTGTCTTCTGAATCCCTCAGCACGCTGGCCTCACAGGTATGCCTGGTTTAATGCTCTGTGGTTACTGTACTAAAATTCTCAATAAATTCTGCACTTTCATTTCACACAGGGCCCTGCAAGCCACGCAGCTGGCCCTGTTCCCATGAGCTGGCTGTGACTAAGCAAGCATACAAGCTCTTCTCCCGAGAGCAAAGGCAGGCCGGCAGGAAGACATCCCAGGCACCTGCAGAGTGACAAGGTGGTGAGGTGGCTGTCTAGGGTGGCACGGAGGTGGGAGGGGTGTGGGGGCATCGCACAGGAGGGTGAAGAATAGGCACTTCCCACTGGCATGCTTCTGCCCCCCACTGCCTCTGCCTTCTCTAGAGTAAGAATGCCATCTCCTGGTCAAGGGCAGGCTTTCAAAGGCTCCCGAAGCAGGCGCATTCCAGAGGCAGGCGCATTCCAGCGGGAGAGGGTGCTCCAGGGAGGTTGCATGTACTGTATTCTGCAGCTTGAAATAGTCATCAAAGGCTTCCTCAGTTCCAACTTCCAAACTAAACAGAAGCAAAACAAAGATTCTTTTTCTGTCCTGAATAATCCCCTGAATTGGCTTTAATTTATGTTTCAAGACAGCACTATGTGCCAGGTGTCAGGTAGTCAAAGATAAGTGCCACTGGTAAGGTAGTTACGTGATTAAGAATGTCATCAATACATTCCAGTTCTCAGGTTCATCCTGAGTCTGAATCAGAGACCTACAGCAGCAGCTTCAGAACTGGATGGTCACTTAGGGCGACATTCAGCATGTGCTGACATGCAGGTGACACTCATTCAGCCTGTGCTGACATGCAGGTGACACTTATTCAGCCTGTGCTGACATGCAGGTGACACTCACTCAGCCTGTGCTGACATGCAGGGTGGTATCTATCTATGGTCACCAGGCCCAGTGACCACCCTCAGGCTATTGGTTGGAAGAGACATCCCTGGACAACGAGCGGCAGAGTCAGCAGGAAGTGGCAGAAGTTGAAAAATGTGGGGGCCTGAAGCAAGTTATTAGAAGAGTGTTCCAGGGCCTCAGCCGTAGCCTCTCCCACTGAGAACGGCACCAGAGTAGGGGGTGCCTGAGGTCCTGCCTTCAGTGGCACCCAGGTCACCAGGAGAAGGGGGGACGTAAGTCGCGCTCAGTACTTAGTGGGCGGGACTCCTGTGCAGGGAGAGACGGTGGAGCCCAGGGGGGGTGAGGAAGTTCCCCTGGACCTCCGCCCAGTGCCAAGGCCACTCCCCAGCGCACAGTGGCAGGGCTGGCTCTATTCAGACAGTTCTCATACACTGACCACACTCACCAGAAGGCACCCGAGAGCCAGAGAACAGCACCGTCCCTCTGCTCAGAAACAAACCTCAAGTGCTTCAGGGAACGGAGTATGTGCTTAATGCCATTTCTTGGTTTTGCTTTAGATAATTTAAACAAAACATCCAGATAACAAGGATATCAAAGGACATAAACATGACCCAGAACATCTTCGCTTCAACATATCCTTGGGACAGGAAAACCGGAGTGAGGATGGCACTCACTGCACACACCCCCCCC